TCTTGCCCCACGACCGAGTTTAAAGAAGAATGGCTCTAGCGGGTAATGTGACGTCAAATCGAGAACACTGCAGATTGCTCCACATAAACCACATTTTAATTCCACCTCAATGTACAAGTTGATATTTGTATTTCTTCCTTAAAAAGGGCAATAACCGGTACAATATGTGACTCTGCCTAATGAATTGGTCAATCATCTCTGTTTATTACACAACTCGCGCAGTCAGAGGGCCAATACCTAAAATCAACCAATCAAAATGCCGGTCAATATTCTCTCAGTATTGGACCGAGTACTGCCCCGAATGCTCCTGAATGATACCGCACTTGTGTCCCTTTGAACTTCAGTCATATAATAAATCTGTTATAAACCAAGCTTGCTTGGGACCGTACTGGGAGAATATCGGCCCTCGCTCTTTTTTGTACGGACCTCGCTGCGCTCGGTCTGTACTGTCAAGACCTCGGGCCAATATTCTCCCAGTACAGCCCTCACACTTGGTTAATAAGATATAATTATTTGACTCACCTTGAGACAGACACTTCCTTAGGATGGACACATGTCCTTGACATATTTTTACAGTATTGGAGATGACAGGAAACAGGGTGCTGGATTTGAAAACTAAAGGTTCTGCATTCTGTCAACCAATAAAATTTGTATCTTGGTGTTTTTAAGCTTAACTCCTCCCATGCAGCTAGCAAAAAGCAAACTGAGTTGCCTCCCAGCAGTCAAGATTTCTAAAAATTTTCTCTATCTTTATATGAATTTACAGCTTTAATCAACTCAGCAATGTTATATATTTTGAAAAAGAATTTAAGCTCTCATTCTATGCCTTTTCTTCATTACATTTATTGGTCAGGAGTCCAAAAATGTATGCAAATAACAACCTTAGAAAAAAAGTTCACCATACCATACAGTGGAAATAAATAAAGGTTTTTTATGAAGGAAAAAAACTTCAAACTCCATGATTGGGAGGCATGTGGTGACAGAATAGATCTAAAAATATATCCATTTAATGAGGTGTAACTGAGTGGTTCTTACTGACTCTAAAGCTTGTTTAACATTCATGCATGACAGAAGATAAAGGTGCACAAACATAAGAACCAACAGGGGCGTATCAAGGTTATGTAAAAAAAAAAAACACACTTCGCAACGTTGAAAGGGATGGGTCATATGAGAGGCTTTGCTACTGACAGTTCTTTCACTACAGTATACAAGGAGTGCACATTAGATGCTTAAACCAAAACATCATCTGGAACTCACTTGATTTTGATTGATTTAATGAGTGCAAGAACAGATGGTGTGTGGTGCTTTTCTCTTTTAATTACTACAAGTAGAGTCTTCTCCTACTTATGCTCCACAGCTGTCTTTTGGTCATGTTGCACAACACACTTTCTTCCAAAGAAAGAGAGTGTGTTGTTTCATGAGAGACCAAACAATGGCTGTAAATAGGTAGTCATAAGAGGATGGTAATCTATCCACATCTTTGACTTAGAAGGACTGAAGATTAAGCATTTATCATAACTTATCAATCCTTAGAAACCGTATAAGTCTATCGGCATAATTGCTCATTGAGAAGTAAATTCTGTCTATCAGACCAAGTTTAACATTTGCAGATGTGTCCAAATGCCAATTTGTAGCTTTTTCAACTTCTTTCATCATCAGATCCCTTCGGTCNNNTGCTGAAAGTATCTCTCACGAATGAGCGCAGCTCACTCGTGAGAGATACTTTCAGCACGAGAAGATAAAATTCGTATCCCCACGTGGCCATGTAATATCCTCTATATATAGCACTCATATCCTGAGCTCATGGCGCTTCACAACACTGTGCAGGGGACTTTACCAGACTGCTAAGCAGTTTACAATCAAATAAAGGTGAATCTAATAGATGCCCCCTCCCCCCAATTCTCAGTAAACAGACCAAACCACATCACAGCAATCTCATGAGTGGGTTTTTTAACATCCCCCGCCTAACCAAATTAACTAATTAATAGATGCAGGAGACAGGACTTACAGTTTATTCGTCCTTATCCGAGAAGACTTGAATGTCTATCCATTTCTTGATGTTATAGAAAGGTAGCACATTCTCCTCAGTTATTTTTAAGACCGTGAGTGTTGGTCTGGCTGGGACTTGAACCCTCGACCTCAAACACAACAGTCTGGCGCTCAACCAATTGAGCTAACCCGGAGGCGGTTAGCTCTCGGTCACCATACTGGCACTCTCTCACCACACTTGGCCTCTCGCACTGTCCCCAGTGGAGAGAGACTGTGTGAGAGAAAATTCTTCAGCCCACCAGCACAACACAGGGGTAAAATTGAGGCCTTTTGATCCACAGTCACAAGAGGTAACCATGGTGACTAGTGCTCTCTCAAAAACAATGATAGACAATGAAATGGCACACATAATTAAAAAGTCTAATTTTGGTTAATGAAAAATTCAGGGGAAAACAACAAATTTTATCAGATAGCTGTGATCTCTTTAATCCTGAGTTACCGGTATTGAAATTGGACTAGAAGTAACTTTCAGTAACTGACCTTTTATAGCTGATCGGTTCTTCACATCTCTTCGTTCCCATGGTGGTTTAGGAATAATACGGCCAGTGCGGTCTGATACTCTAACCTTTTCACCCTTCTCTGTGAATCTATAGGTAATATCTGTGGGTTTTCTATAAAGTTAAGTATTTCTTAGTAAAATATGCTTGTGATAGCAATTTTTATGCCAGGCTCCCTTCATAATAAAGAAATAGATGTTTTTGTTTTGTTATGACTGTGGGATTTAGAAAAAGTTCTGAGAGTCCATTAGAAATCAAACCTTAGAGCTTGGCACTCTGATGCTGCACCACTGTGCAACACAGAACTCTATCTATAGTGAACTAGGCCAATACAAGGTTCATATGTGACACATATCCTGCTTATGGCAGAAAGTGTTGTGTGAGCAAATAGAGGACAAAAGATGGGAAAATTTATCATCTTTCTGACTCTTTATTGCTAGATCAGTATTTTCTACAAGGATATGTAGATCTAAACCTACCAACATAATCTCCACTAATTAATTCATTATCCAAATGTGCTTCATAGAATAGAAATAACATATAAGACAAGTACAAATATCATGCAATAACTGTACTCCAGAAATATCTGCATAATTCACCTACACTGAAATAACAGTTTGGTGTGTTGGAAAATAAATCTCTTATTAAACATTTTGTTGTGTAGTATCTCTGAGTATTTTTACTCGCCGTTTGTACTTTGACTCTCTCTACAGGCCCATCAACATATGGCACAACTCTTAAAAATTCTCTGCGATACCACATAACAAAACATGTAATGAGAAATATGCAATCCCTGTTGCTGTCTGTCAGTTTAGTAATAAATCACAGATGATGTCAGAATGTTCTTACTATATTTGGGCATCTTCTGTGACCATAATGAAATCATTTGTTTTATATAATAAAAAAGCAAAATACTGTTGATGGTGACATCATCCATGCATGTGTCCTCTAATGAATCACAGATAAGAACTGATCAAAATGGTGTACAAACAAGAGTAATGGCCATAACAGCTCACCCATCTGAAGGATCTACAAGAGACACTTCCGACACCCGAAGTGGTGCTTCACTGTTGATAAGTCCTCCATCAAAACCTTTCTGTGGGGCGATGTAACGTTTGTGCTGTCAAGAAATAGACAGAAATGGCTAAAAACAGTCTGTGCTAAAACATAACAAAACCCAAGCTACAATTTAAAACATACAGTATGTACAGTTTTTATTTTGATCAAGTGGAAGCCTTGGAGAATGGTAAGTGATCGTCATTTTGAAGCTTTCCATGAAGACATAATTTCTCCTTGTAATATCAATACAACATAAAACAGACATTAGTATTGAGAATAAAGAAAAATGTCAATTAGGGGATTATTCACGGTGGCCCACAACTGTCACCGCAAAACAAAAGAAGTCATGGCACTTCACACCTTACTCACGGCAAAACAAAATTAACTCACGGCAAAACAA